TTATAAATAATTTAGGACTCTAGGTTAACAATTCAAACCATTAAAATAAGTTAAGGAAGATAGGTAAGATTTAGATGAAGTGTAATGGATATTGTAATCCTAGACTTGTTTGATTAGATATTTACTCAAGTTATTATTATTTTGATTTTTTCTATTCGTTTAAATTTTAGTTAATTAATTTTAGTTAATCAATTAATTTTAAGTGTTTGGATAAGATTAATTTGTTCTAATTTTAGTACTTAGTAAAATTTTAGATCAATTCTCTGTGGGATCGATACTCTGCTTGCTAATATACTATCTATTCGATATGTATACTTACATAGTAGAATTATAACTAACAGACAGTCGTTTCATGAATACAAATCCTAATACGAGTAAAAGCTTTTTATTAAAGATATTTCTCTAAACTCTCCTACTGTACCGGTATGACTCGAAAGTATCTTTTCACCTAGGAAACTTTTTGAAGAAACTTACTTTCATAAGCTTCTTCAGAAAGTCCCATCATCGGAGCTTTGACTCATGCACCTAATACGTCTACATGCCATGACATTTAACAATGCAATAATAAGGAGTGATGTACCCAGAAATTTCAATCTTCATTCTAAACTTTCTCGTAACTCTTTTGTTATTGCTTTAAAAAATTATTTATCTTTATATATCTATATATCATGAATAAATATTTTATTTTAATCTAATTTTATTTTATTACATATTTTTATATGTTTAAATATTTATCTATTTTGCTGTGTATATTTTCCTTATACCTAAAGGCTAATTCTCTAATCAAATATTTTATTTTAGAATTACTATTATTATGCATATATTTCTTATCACTCAATTTCTTTTTTTTTTAAATTTGCCTAACCTATTTTCTTTTGACTAACTATTTTTTTTCTTTTTGCATAAGTCTATTTTTTATGATTATATACATTTTCTTTTATATTTTAGTTATATTCATCGTTATTATGAGTTTACTATTTTTGAAAATTTTATTTTTTTACTATTTATTTATCATTATGAATATCATCATTTTTGATAGCCTTATACATTTTAAAACAATACATTTCATTTATTCCTTCTTGTATTTGTTATTGTCATTATTATTATATTATTTTTTTATATTATTGTTTAATTAGTAATTAAGTTAATATATTTTTTTATTTATTTAGAATTGCAAACTTCGGGATTTAAAA